TTATTGTTATGCCTGGTGTAATTGCGTTACGCCACTTGGGGGAAGTGAACGGTCGGACAGAGCTCCATTTTATTTCCTAATCCATGGGTGCAATCACCCGAAAGACGTAGAGAACTCTGAGAGAAGAAGACCCAAAGTTTTTTTCTATGATGTACAGATATGTCCCGTACTCTTGTTCAGCGGAACGGTCCCATTGATACCTATGGCGAAGCCTCATTGATATCCTGTGCGAAAGTTTTTGCCTAGTCTTGCACATGCAAAGACGGTGCGACATTGGCGAGGCGGCGGGCAAGCAGGCACAGGCAGGCAGGGAGAGATGCATAGGTATAGGTAGGTAGTGCTGAGAATGTACGTTCGAGGCTTCGAGCTCTGAGCCGTCTTCATTCTTGACGGGGTCTCACATGTTCCAAGGGGGTGCGTGAGGTAGTGTCGTACAATATCGTTCGCGTTGACCAGTGGTGCCACACGATTGTAAGTCGGTTCACATTCCCACAAGCAAGACTTCTTCTTCTATTTTGAGGATTATTCATGTTCATCTTTTGGTCCCCGAAACCTACGGCAGGTAGCACAGTTGGTAGGTGGCGGACATTCACGACATTTGGAAACTCGCAGGGCTTGTGCTACCTCCAAAACACTACGAAAGACACGGAGTGCATCGTCCGATTCTCAGGTTGACTTTCTAGCCTGATTGCCGTGGTCAAGAAGAGAAGTAGGAAGGGGGGAAAAAAACCTTCTGCATTGACCTCACCTTAATCCGAACTTTCAAATGAAAGAGGTGACGGCGCCGTCGCCAAAAAAGAAGTGTGGTTTTGAAACGAACGGTAGGTAGTGACCTCCATCCTTGGACGTTGGCATCCTGTGACGCAATTTGATCCTCCTTCCTCTTCCTTTCTGAGCCATGGAAGTTCGGGTTTAGGAATCTGCTGTTGCTGCTTTGGATTCGGGAACACGCCCCCCTCCCATGCTAACGAGTCTGCAAACAGGTACTCATTTCCCATGCGCTTCCTTTCCAATCTCCTCGTGGCTCACGGGACTTCACCAGTCTGTGCGCTGTAATTGTCGAGACCGGATGCGTGTGCATGAGGCCGCAGCAAGACAGACGCAAGAGTTCGTTCTCCCGTCTGCAATTGCTCGACCTTCTGATATGGATTTCAGATTTGATTTTCTCACCCTTACGCATGGGACTGCATTGGCGCGGGCTGTCGCCAAGGGTTTGACACCGTCGAGATTCGGGAAGGGCCAAACTTGGAAAAGACGAGGGCTCTACCATGGAACTTGGAGACTGGGAAGACGGCACGACGGGAAGATTCGACCGTTCGAGACCACCACGCCTCTCTCACGCTTCTCGAATTCATCCACTCAGTAAATGGTCGAGACTCATAATAGCCCCTCCCAACGACCTCTATGAGTCTAGAGCCTAGAGTCTAGAGGCTATGGTAGAGGCTACGGTAGAGGCTAGGTAGCGAGCTCCCAATTTCCAACGGCCGGAACCCCAAACAAGGAGCTCCCCGCAAACCCCCCGTCTTCTCCATGGTCCACCAGACCAAGCGAAGCCTATACGTTCATAACCAAGCTTCCTAGGTCGTTGCGAACCGGCGTGAACAGTCCTGAATCGGAGGAACGGGAGATTGCCATCTTTCTACTCCGTCTCATCTTGCATAATTCTTCCGGGCTCCGAATGTGATGCTGATGATGGGTCTGTCGGTGGAACCTCCAAATGGCAGGGGGAGGGAACATTCATACGTCATAGCAATAAATCAAACAGAGGCCCACACCCTTCCGCGGATGACGGCTCATACCATGTACGCATACAGCGAAGTTCGGCTCGCGACACTGTCCTCTTTTCGCTCTAGGCCCCGGAGGTAGTGGTGTTCTGACTTCATCTCCATACAGGACGTGACAGGCTAGAGAAATCCAAACTCTCAGATGGCAATATTAGAATTGGAAATGAAGGGTTCAATCGGCAGAGAAATGTGAGATCAGCGCTGTTTGAGGATTTCTCGAAAGGGCCCGTGAGAAGAAGCATGATGCCTAGCGTCTTGCATTGACCTTGCCTTACCTGTGCCTGCCCACGTCAGTGCATCAAGCTTCCGGGTAAGCGTAAGAATCCTTGGCAGATCAGATTCCACGCGCAGAAAGAAAGTTTGCTCGTCTTTTTGCCCACGCCTGTCAAGAAACGCAACGAGAAGCCTCTGTTTTTGAGTTTTGAGTTTGAGCTGGCAGGCTGGCAGAGGCTTGTTGCCGACTTGGAGTGAAAAATGGGACACACCTCATACTTACTGGTTGATTGACAGGCGGGCAGTGTTCAGTACTTGGCTCAGCTCTTTCTCAGCTGCGCCAGCTGGCAGCCTCAACAGAGACCCAACGAAAAGAAAATGTCGATCCGGGGGACCCGACAGTCAATCGGCTGCGAAGCTCCGTTCTCTCGCTCATACTGTGTACACAAGCATCATCCTCTGGGTCTCTGGTGTGTTCCATGGTGCTTCCTCCTCCTCGTCCTCCTAGGCTTCCATCGAAGCAAAGCCTGGTCTTCTGCCGTGAAACTGTGGAACTGTGGAACGGCACCTCAGGCAATAGACTGAGAGCATTGGGCAAACAGTATGATTGTCTGGACGACTCTCACCCATGTCACCGTCTCTTCCTTTTTGCCCTTGCCCATTTCCCCTTCCCTTACGTCTCGTGACTCCCTGAATTGGTCCACGTTGGAGAGAGGTATCCATTAGTAACGCAGTGAGGTGCAGGTACGTACCCGTATCCGATGTCGACGGGACTTTGTAATGGCTGGCGGTTTCTCCAGTACGGAGTATGGGCCTGATGGAGGGCCTCTAGACGCGGGAATAGCGAGCTTTGGCGAATCATATCCCTCCAATCTCTTCTCCACCTCCTGTCGATCTCCTCCTCGCCGCCTTCGCAGCGCCCCAAGTCCTTGGCCCATGGTGTCATTGCATCCGCGGGAAGGTACCTACCTTTATTACCCATGTCCATGTTTCTTTCTTTCCGGTTGGTGTCTGCCACTGCCTGTCTGCCCCAGTAGGTACTCCGTAACTGCTCCAAAAGGAACCCCCCGGTTTTTTGTTATTGTTGATGACATGTTGCTATTCGCTTTTGTATTTGTTTGCTTGGACAGCATGGGCCATGGGGAACCTCGTTTTCCCCCGTCCACCACCGCCTCATCCGAACCCACAATACATTTTGCCAATTGACTCGCTTCTCCCGGCTGAAAACAAAACGGAAAAGCGGACGGTGAGCAAGAAAAGCGGACTTGTTTCTCCGGTATTGATGTACACATGCAATTGGGTATCCAAGCATCGCATCGAACCGAGGGCTGACGTTGTGGATATGGCGGGATAGCATTGTCATCCTCCCGTCAATGCCTCATCCTGCTGCTCCACGCTGTTGGCTGTGTACGTCCCGCGTGGCTTGCGAGCATAATCACTGCTGCTATCTTTGGGAACCGAGGAGGCATAGCATAGCCGTTGACGGACTTCAGCTGCCTAACAGCTGTAAGCTACCAGTTGTGCCAGGCTAACCCCTTGATGCTTTCATAGAGCCAAACCGTTAGCCACGCAGAACGCCACCGTCGTCGTCCTCCTCCGCCTCCTCGGCCATCGTCCTCGTAACCGTCGACCTTACGGCTGCCGCTCGAGCCTAGCCACATATCCACACGTCTCGAACGTGGGCTAGATTCAAGTCCGTTTGGCTAAAAGATCCGGCCTAATATGGCGCCTGTTTTTTCGTTGGGGGCGGACGACATCATTACCCATCCCAATTGGAAATGTCGCCTCTCTCTCGGCATCGGATTCTTCGACGGTTCCTGCGCGGTTTTCTATGCTCTGGAACATACCTACAGCCTAGCACGCCCAGCTGCGTCAAGCGTGGCAGTCCAGCGTTTTGTCCTGCTGGGTGCTCACGGTGCTAGTGCTCACGGTGCTAGTTTCTCCTGTCCACGGTGAAATCATCGCCGTAAGGAGCTTCCCTCAAAGAACAGTGACTAGGAGACACAGAGGAGGTGGCACAGATTCAGCACAGCAGACAACAGGCTACCTTGGAATTCCTGATCTTTCCCAAGATGGGATCATGATCCCCGGTATCCCCAGTCTCAGACATGCAGGCTTGCCAGAAGGCCCAGGTAGGGAGAGCTTTCCGCTTTGCCAATGCCGACCATGCAGCCTGTCACGCCTGACCGTATGCCCACCGGCCAGCCGTGCCAACTCAGTCAGCTCAGCCATAGCCTGGCCTCGTTCGCATAGCTGCTCCAGCTAGTCACCATCGATTGGATCTAGTTGCCAGAGTCTATTGCATAGAGTGCGAAAGAGTACCGAGGAGGCAGTTGGGAAACTGCATGTTACCGCGGGGATGACGTGAGGAAGTGGATCTTTGTCGTTCGTCCTTTGGTTCTACAGAGCCACAGCCCACAATGGCAGACACAAACCACGAATAGAGCACACCTCCTTCGCGACTGGGAGTCTGGCACTCACGCATTCTGGGAGGTCTGGGATATCCGAACATGGGTCTCCCCTCCCCCAGCTTCGACCATGGCCGGGGTACGTAGCAGCAAGTCTCGGGGTGCCACCCGCGGTCCGCTAGACTAGCAACAACCTAACCAAGTACTTCCCTAGCCTCCTTGGACTGGCCTCCACCCCCTGGTTCCGCCTGCTGGCCCTCTCGCCCAAACAAAAGGAGGCGAAAACGGGGAAAGGAATCCCATCATCGCACCCGGTGTACCTCCCCTTGCCTCCCACAACACACCAATGCGCCAAGTATTCTTGGTTGCGTGCCCGGCGTTTGGTGGAGGATTCTTGTGGTGGTGCCTGGCCTCTCTCGGCGTGAGGGGGGTGTGAGATGAATATGTGAATGACGAACGGTCCATTGGGGGCGTGAGGTAAGGAGAGGAAGAGAGGTGAGTGAGAGAATGAATGGGGACAGGCGGCTCGGCTTGGCTCTCTCACTCTCTCTGGATGGTCTCATCAAGAGATATATAAGACCTCTGTCCATCAGCCCATCCTCCTGTCGTCTCCCTTCCCTCCACTCTATCCAATCAACCCAATCTCATACAAATACTCAGTCCTCGACTACCAATAATTAATTCAATAACTTCAACCTTTAAACACCAAAACCAACAATCTTAAATCAGCCAAAATGCGTTTCTCCGCCGCCACCGTTTTCGCCCTGGTCTCCCTGGTCGCTGTAAGTTGAACCGAACCTCCTGATATACTCTCTCCTACAACATACTGACAAAACTCCCAACAGGCCCAGGATGCCTCCTCCACCACCCCTGCCGTCCCCGGCGCCTCTCAGGTCAGCTCCCTCATCGGCTCTGCTTCCAGCGCCATCGCCTCCGAGGCCTCCTCCATCCTGAGCGGTGCTTCCTCCGCCGCCGGTGCCGCCTCCTCGGCTATCGCCTCCATCACTTCCTCCGCCGGTGCTGAGGCCAGCTCTTTGAGCCAGCAACTTACCTCCGCCACCGACGCCGCCGGCTCCGCCTCCATCTCTTCCAAGATTGCCTCTGTCTCCAGCAAGGCCGCCTCCGCCGCCTCCAGCGTCGCCTCTGCCCAGAGCACCTCTGCTCCCGGCGCTGCCCCCGCCCAGACTGCTGCCGTTGCTCTCGGTGCTCTCTTCGGTGGTGCTGCTCTCGTTGCCAACCTGTAAATCGGGAACCTAAAACTATGATTATGGGATCTATGGAACGAAATGGCTTAGCGGAAACGATTGAAATTTCCGGTGCGTGGTAAAGGATACTACTACACAGCATTGTTTGGGCTTTTTTTTGGGGATTATCAGAGATATTAAGATGTAATACCAGTACGAATTGTACATCAATCAACATCAATTGTATATTCAACCAAATGGCTCATCCGTGACTGCGTCGCTGCCATTACCGTCTGATCGGCTGATTTGATGGATGTGCCGAAGAGGTTCACACGTTGTGACACAACGCGTTGATCCGATTCTCTCTTCGATCCATACAGCGAACAGTGTAGCAGGAGTAGTGCAGCCGAGGGGAATGAGATCGACATTCGGATTTTTTGGTACTAAGATAAAATGGCGCTTTGCTCCAACAGCACAATGTTGTAGCAGGCCACACTTGTCCTGCACCTTACTTCGTATCCGAACCATGCATAACCACTAGTGCAAACGCCGCAGCCAGCCACCCTACAGATGGGGCAGGCCCTGGCAAGGCAAGGCAAGCAATGGTGCATTTCAGTTCCCGCCACGCTGCCTCACCCAATGTTTCACCGTGTGAAAAGCAAAGTGGAACATAGGATTGGTTGCTTTCGATCGCGATCGCACCTAGCTAGTCTTTCCCGAGACAGTCAAAACAAAACACCTCGTACCTGTGAAATTATTTATGCTATTGCGCCGTGTTAATGATCTGATGGTCGAAGGCTTTGGTCCGCATACACTGTATGCTCCAACTACGCCTTCGACCGGGTATCTGCCCATAACTTATCGATGATTTGGAAAATTGCCGTAATGTCCTTCATGGCCTCGTCGTCCACCTGTCCGCCAAGCTTCTGCTGCATCTTGTCAGGATGCCACCGCACGCGCTCATCGCGCAGCTTCGCAGCGAACTCCTTCTCGCCGATATCCTCCAGCCCGAGCCCGTTGACAATAAACCGCCGGACTTCCTTCTCGTTAATGTCTCTCCGTCGGCTGCTTTCTACAGGCCAGGGGATCTTGTCCACGTTGTTGGCCCATTCTGTCCAGCCTCGTGTGTAGTCTGCCCACAGCTGGGCCCAGGCTCTCTTCTTGCGCCGCTCCTCTCCGCGTCGCAAGCTCCGCTCCATATCCTCTTGGAGCTTCCTGTTCACCGTGTCCTCTTCCTTTTTGCGTTTCCGTGCTTCTTCCCGGCGGGCCCTCTCTTCTAGTAAGCCCTGGTGTGTCTTCTCCCACATCTTCTGTCTGACGTGCTGGGAGTATTCTTCGTCCGTCATTCGCTCTAGCTCGCCCTCTGGGCCCGGCCGCTCGTTGGAGTAGACGTGTATCGGTTGTCCATAGACGCCCTGCCAGTACGCCGCGCCCTCGTCGTCTGCCATCGCGTCGAAGAGGGACTCGCGGAATGCTGCATCTGGGTCGAGGGCCTGGGGTTCGTAAGGGTTCGGTGGCGTCGGGGATCGTGATCGTCTGCGTTGTCGGCGGCTGCTGTGGTGGTGGCGGCGGCTGTGGCGATGCTCTGAGCGGGAATCTTCATTGTCGACGGTGTCTGGATCGTGGCCTCGGTCTCGGTCGCGGTGACGATGTGATCGGCTCGACTTTGAATGTTTGGATTTTAATCGGATGCGGGATGATCTAGGTCGCAGGTTTTCGCCATCGCCTGGTTCTGCTTGCGCCTGCGCTTCTGCATCTGTTGGACCGGGCGACGGCTTGCGCTTGGTAGGCTCTGGTGTGTTCTCGTGACCCTCGCCGGGATTGACAGACGAAAGGATATGTCGCCGTCGCGGCGATGCCGGCGACATGGTCATCGCGTGTGTTTTCCCCGCCCGCACGCAGCGGCCAGATAATCTGTCGAAAAAGATACTTGACGCCGGTGTGTAGTTGAACAGGGTTCGGAGGAAGGAAAGTTGTTGGAGGGGTCGTCCTGGATTGACGTCGTTGGATTTTGGCTTATCTTATCTCGTGCGGTGGTGGTGGTTTTCCTGTTTGCGGGTCTTGGCATCCCGCGTGCCTGGATCATTCCTGCCACTGCGAGATAAGCTTAAACCCACGCGATAACCCGCTTCCCCCGGACAAGGAAGGCAGGTACTTTTCTCTTCGTATCTTGAGGCTCAGCAGACTGCAACGTCGTCTAGGTATCTTATCGAGCTAAATTGTACAGATACAGATAAGCAAGGTACCTACTCTGATGACCCCTGGCAGACGTTCTGTCCAGACACGAAGGTATTCATGGAGGAAAACACCAACATTCGATTCACGATGTCCGCTTTAAAGGGTTGAATAGCGTCATTCACCTAAATTTACACTGATGTTGTCTCGACTCAAGTATTTTCTTCGATTCAAGCGATACTAATCACAAAACATTTCTGACTTTCAAACTACGATATTGTGCTTTATGCTTTTCAAGGTTTCGACCTCCAGAGCATCCTTCACGACTTTGGCAACCGAGACACACTTTTCCTCGCCCTACTTTCCTCCAATAATCTGCACACCGACTGGCATGCCGTGAATTAGCTCAGAATCATCTAGGTTTTCATTAGTATATACAGCCCTTTGAGAGTCAAGGCCGTAAGAATGCTCATACAGCTGATAGTTTATCTCATCGCTCTCGTTCCATGGGACATGGTTTGTCCACTGCTGGCTCGAGGCACCATTGCTTTCAGCTCACATGACGGGGATCGTCAAAGTCACATAATCAAGCCAATTCCAGTGCGAAGTGTATCGAACGTGAGGCTTCGACCTGGCCTACACTCTGGGTCTAATCCCAAACCAGGGTGCCACCGTGGTGATAAGGGCGTCAATGCCTGCCTCGTTCCAGCGCTTGAAGTAGTCTTTCTCGTACCTAAGTTTTTTGGCAGCCAGCTGTACAATCTCGTTTATTCGAGGTGGCGCGTGCCATCCGTGCTTGAGTTCACTTACATCGCGAGACTCTGCAACTGAAAGTATATCCTTTTCGGTTCCAACAAGAAGCCCTTTGACTAGCGGCTCTCCGCTGGCCTCACTCAGTTTCCTGTGGAAGTCACCGTCATCGGCGAATGTGGCGGCTACCCAATCCTTATAAGCTTCAGCATGCGAGGTGGGATCCCATTCGATCACTGGATGCGTATGTATTAGCACACACGCACAGCTGGAGCCAAGACTTTAGACCAAGCAATGGATAGCACCTACAAGTATGTCCTGCAGCCGTGAGGCAATCAATAACAGCCCATCCCGCCCTTTCAATAGGCGGCTGTATACGGACAAGCGTGTCATTTATGTAATACCCAATCTTGAGAGGCCTGTCGGGCTTGGCCGCGAGCTTCTTGCGCCACGGGATGGGAAGCAACGTCGCATCTGTTTGCCATGGTTCACAAGACAAGATGCCATCCATTAAGGTTTCTATTGCCGAGAAGCTGGAGGCTAGAGGACTAGCTACTGGCGGTGCGATTAATTCCCATTTGCTGCCGCACCACTCTTGTGAATTAATGATGCTTCAAGACAACAAAGCCACCAAACGTTAGGAGGAAGCAACTTGCCTCGACTCGTCGAATGGTCGTCGCCCAACAATTGGTTTCCAGCCCGTACAGTCCCGGCAGAGCTGCCGGGATACGGACTGAGCCGCCGGTGTCTGTTCCAACCCCGACCAAGCTACCGTGACAAACTATGAGTACCGCTTCACCACCTGAGCTGCCGCCAGAAATCAGCGCGTGGTTGAGTGAGTTTAAAAATTGTTTGAAAACATGATTGGAGGAGTCCGAAAGCCAACGGTCTATGTCAGACTACGGTCTTGCAAGTAGGCATTGGTGGAGGTTTTTACCATTAGAGCCTGTGCAACATTCGTCTTGACAAAACGTACGGTGCCTTGAGCTATTTGAACGTCTGTCAAGACGCTGCTTTCTTTCACCAGCTTCTTGATAAGCCCAACCCAGCCTTTGCGGTATCAGTATCACACAGGCATCCTGCACCCGGCGGCTTACCAATAGTGGAGTCAAACCCTTTAATATCGAACATGTCCTCGAGGGATCCCGGAAGGCCATGCAAATCCCCAATCACGGAGCCTGTCCGCTCCAGATGTTCATCTAGAGCCCTAGCTCGCTCGAGAACCTCTTCGAATATGAGCTCCGTGCAGCATTTCACTAGCTGCTGGGCTATGACTGCCCACTTCGCGAATGCCTTGAGGACTTGGACTGCGCTCAGCTTTCGAGTCGCGATCTGCTCAAGCAAGACTTAGACATCTTCAATTTCCATACAAGCAAGCACTTTCGCGGTCAAAAGTCTAGAGAAACGAAGAAAAACTTTCGTGTCTTTGGGTAGAGGAGCAGTTCAGTCGATGCACCCCTCGATGGCAATAGCGGCGTAATATTCTGCGCGCTTCTGTGCGGCGCGTGGTTTCTTTGGTGGTGTCGAAGTTTGCGTATTGATCACAGGTTCTGTTGTAAGCAGCATCGTAGAACAGCCGCGTTCCGAGGTAAATGATTGGTCTTGATTCTCACCCATATCTTGAACTTAAGTTCACTAGGTCATTCCAGAGTAGAGTTGGTCTATGAATCAAATAAGTCCATGTAAGGTGCGTTCGATTCTTCTTCACACCAGACGACTTATGTGGCGAGTTAATTATGAGAATGACTGATGCCCGCATCCATTTTATGGATCTTTGTTTCATGCCTTCTGTACTCGGCAACCAGATAAATGACAGCCTTTCTTGATCTGGTACGAGATGAATCGAGATTATATGGAAGATAACCTGTTTGACCTTGTGGGATGTCCAAAGGAAGTATTTCAAGTATTCACGATAATCGCGAAGGAGGGCTTCGAGTGCGAATCGAGGCATCCTGAATTATACGTTGCTGCAACAGAACAGCTGCTCAAGACGTCACGCGGTGTTCGCGACCACGGAGACCTTTTGCGGGATGCCTAGAGATACTCCATGGTAATGGCTATCTATGAGGCAGAGTCAAGTATGATAACGGCCAGTTTTGAAGCCATCATGCATGAACTGGCAGATCGCATTTGCGACATCCTACAGGCAATACCGGCGAAGTCGGCAAAATATCGCCATTTACCGTTTGCTACTTTCATGGACGGCCGTCTTTCACAGTCTTCGGATCATTCTCAGGCCGCCCAAAAGTATCGAGAAACATGCAATTCTCTGGAAGATCCAATATACTCCAGCGGTGACTACATGTCTAGGAACGATTGATAGGTTCACATAGTCACTCCAAGTACTTCATCTATCTATAGGGGTAAGGGGTATCAGCTTACTGCGTTTAAAGTCTGCAATGGCATTTAGTATATAGGTAAAGTCGATGTCTTTAGATGGAGGGATCTTGAGAGTGTTTATTGTTCATTGACGACATTCGAGTCTATGGAGGTTGGCAATGCAATCATATCCTGCCGTGACAATAACCCCTGGTATCATCCTAAAGACTAGCTGGTGCCTGCCATCGCGCTCTCTTCCTACACATTCAACCTCACTTTCCCCTCCCTTGCTGGTATCTTTCCAGGCGCAATCGAAAGGGGCCGTGTTCTACCTCGTCAACTAATCCATATCAAGTTCGGGGGTAGGGTGCAATTCCTGCAAAGCTGTAGCGGCATCATCTGGTCTAGAAACCTCCATGGCGTCAATGATACCTTCCAGCCGCTGCTTCAGCGAATTGCTGGCTTGAGCCAACATCCATTCTCCTGCTTTCCTGGGGATCCACGGCGGCAGTGAACAAGGGACCCAGTCTTTGTGGACATCGCTTCCCCAGATGGCCTGAGTACGGCGACGGTGGTGGTAGTAGAAGTATTGGACCAGGTGCATACAGGAAGGGCAACATAGCCTGCTCGAAGGCATGATGACGATGTCGTCCTGGAAGAGATCTGTGACTTCTTTCTCTGGGAGGACCATGCCGCTGTTGATCGACGCTGGACTGAGGTTGTCTCTTTCTCTGGCGAGGAGCTGCAAGCAGAGCATCGTGCTTTCGCAGCGGTATCCGCCACTGAAGTAGGTACTGTCAAAATCGTACTCGCCGATCATGAGGTTTGTGCCGTTGTTTTCCGAGTTGATCCAGTGTAAGATCTCTCCCAGGGGATCGGGGTGTTCTGGGTCCTCTTCACCCCCAGACCCCAATTCCTCCTCCAAGACTTTCCTGATGGACATCATCTTGTGATCGTTGTGCTCTGTATTGACTTCTATCAGATGGAATTCGCCCTTCTTCACGATGTTCGAGAAGTACTCCCTCCAGTTTGGCTCCTCGCAGATCTCCAGTCTATCAAGTTCGACGTGTGTAGAAATATCCCGGAGAATAAAACGCAGGTAATTGATGGCACCATTTGCCCAATCATCGTGTGAAAGTTCAGACAATTTGGCGAAGTCTGGGGAGTATTCTGGATTTCCGGTGTCGAGTCTTTCCTCGGCCACCAAGATCCCCGAGAAGTCTTCGACGGTGTCGTTCGAGGAGCTAAATTCGGCGTCTGAAGGTGCATTCTTCTGCTTCAATAGGTCGGAGTTGTTCCGACGAAGTTCACGTTTCAGCCACTTGAAATGATGAGGCAGTATCTTGCTGAACCCCAAGCGAAGCTCGGACAGATGATGTGCCCAATCTGATAACTGTTCAGCGGCTCGCTGGAGACTAGAGACGTCGGGCTCTCTGGACCCAATGCCCAGAAGGATGTCGGTCTTTCTGCGGTGGCACTCCCACTTTTGCATCAGTAATTTTTCGACTGCTCTAGCTAATCCCTCGAGAAGGCGCGTGATGATGTGATGGAAGACTACTCTTCCGGTAGCATTATACCATGATGCATCTGGTCTTGGATAATGGTCCAGCACTTGATCTTGGCGATGTAGCTGGAGGAACTTTACAACACATCTATAAACCTGGTTTTGATGCCATGTGAGAGGTACCACCGGAGGAAGAGAACGGCTCGTATAGGCCCATTCACAATTGGAGACATCCATGGTGAGAATATCGTAGAATGTCCTAGTCAAAGTGTGCTTAGCAGCCTCCGTTGTGGCTTCTAGAGTCTCTGTTCCCTTTACACAATGGACTGGGCCGCTCTGAAACAATCGATTATGGGTCTTTTCACAGCTTATGATAGCAAGGTAGTCCATCAGGTTCTCGCCAGCGATATCCAGTTCATCGTCAGTCTGGGCTATGCGAGTTTGCCTCAGCATGCCGACGAGGTTGTTCTCATGTACGGCAAACGTTATCCTCGACTGCAGCTTTCCATCTTCAGTCGTCTTGTCGATCATGTCAACGTAATACTGTGCCGCTGCCTTTGTACCGGCCGGAAACGATGTTCCCGTAAGTTGTGTCTTTTTACACACCAGTTGGCTCTGGCGAGTATCCCTGGATGCAGTTTGGGAAGCCGCTGCCGATGCGGAAGCGTTGCCCACGACGACAACGCGAGGGGGCTTCGTACGGTCTCCAAGATTGAAAATAGTAGTCGCGACCTGGTTCTTGTATGTGACGAGTTGAGCGAAGGCGAACAAGTAAGGGAAGGCGTCGGAAGACAAGGTCCCCCTTCTGCCCCTGATGAGGCCTAGATTGGACGGAGACACGATGGGCAAGTCATTTGTCAATGACAGAATTTGGGTGAGCGTACGGTATTTCAGTAATTCTTCTTGCGAGAGGAAATCCATTTTCGTTGTTGCTTGAGATATTTGTCGTACTCGTTGAAGTTGATGAAGATGGTTGTCGGGTTCTTGGGTCCTTGGGTTCTTAGGTCCTTGGGTTCTTGGTCATAGTCAAATGTAAGTCGGGTTGTTGAAAGGCGAACAGGAGAAACCCTGAAATTTCTTCGTTGACGCCAAATATTGACGGTAGTACCTGCTCGAGGAATAATGAACGATTGGTAAACAGGAGAACAAGTAACTTTAAATGGGCATCATCCATAGATTCTCGATGAGTTGGTTCTCTCTTGCAGATGGGTTTCCGAGATGTGTTCAAAGAACACCAAGACGAGGAAAACCAAGGCCGCGAAAGAAAGATGTGAGAATCAAACAAAGTCATTGTAAGCGATGAGCTTTCAATATCGTCTAAAGCAGTCATTTGTAGCATTATTCTCGGTCAGTCGAGCCTTGTTCAAATCTTGTTGTCAAGGCGCACAGGCCAATGTTCTTCACGATAATGAATGTGTACCTGTGAGGCGCGGCTCGGGCGACGAGATCTTGGCTCAAGACACTTGTTCGGACTTCGTCCTTGGTAGGAGCCAGACACACTCCATCTTCAAGTCTATGGCTGTCATGTGGGGCTATTTCTGAGGGCGATGTTTGGACATTTGCTAGATCGTAGACCCGTTTTCTACTTTGCGCGCTTTCAGAACCATGAGTCCCACCACTCTAGGGGTAATCAGTCGTGACAGTCAGGGCAGTGAACCCGTCCCACGACTACCAGTAATATCAGATTTAATGTCGACGAGCATCGGTCACAGCGCCGATAGTTGTAAAGTTGACTCAGCAGTGAAGTGCTCTGGAGAGCCGCGGAACCTCAAAAGCTTCTTCAGGGGCTCGACGGGATAGGTAATGCCCTATACATTGCGGTAGCGGACAGTAAGGTGTGGCCAGTCGTAGTACGGAGATAACTCTCTTTCTCAAGATTGAGTAAGAGCCTGACACTCCTGGTTGCGGATGGTGAAGAAATACCCCGCGAAAACGCCGCGAAACGGGTAAGACATGTTTGATCCGCATCGGGGTCTAGATTCCATTGCCGCTTTGGAACCAGTCTTTGACTGGATCAAAATCGAAGCTGAGACCATCTAGATGGTATTTTACTTCTTGGGTTCGCCGTTTCCAAGGCTGCAATTCAATTTACGTTGACCTTGTGACTCTAAAGTCACCATAACGAGACTGGGGAGACTTCACGACAGGAGACAGATTAGCTGCCTGGAGAAGGAGCATTTGGTGGCGTCGGAATGTGGCTCTCTGACGGGCTAGGCAGATGGGAGCACCTGTTGAGCAGCCAGAGGCCATGATAACCATGTCGGTCTCAATGTTTCATGGTTGAACATGAGTCGCGGGAAACAAAGGCAGTTGAAACTCCCGACGATCGCATCGCGATAAACGCGAAGGTGCTATCTACAGAGTCAAGGATTTCACCGAACTCTGAATGTCACAGATCGGGGAAATAAGAAAAGCAATGTTGCATGCAACGTCCCGCAATGTGTTTCTATCTTGGCCATCCGGGGAAACAAGGCTTGTGAGTTGTGACACCTTAAGGTAGCTTGGCAGTACTTGCTTATGTAAGGAAGACTACCGGAGCTACGGTACGGTGAACTATGGTAAAAGGCGTCTGTGCTTCAGGTCGTACATCTCATCGATTTTTCAATGTGGTCCGTAGGATAGGTAGGTACCTGTGTGATGTACCCATCGTCCCTCCGTTATCGCTTCCTTTGCTGACGAAGGAACCTAGGTGAGGAGGCAAAATGCGGTAAGCGGTGCACGCAAAATACGGCAATACGCGGCACCTGATGCCGGACTGAATTATCCGAGCGTCTTATCTGAAAAGACTGAGATGCAAGACGCTGACACGCGCGATCCTCGTTTACAGGGAACATGTCCCCTACCCCACGACAGTAGCGAGTGGTAGCTCTGCGAGTACTGAGTTGTGCATGCATCGGAGGTACCGGAAATGTATCGCGAAAAAGCCGAATGCGGGACAAGGCTGCAATGCAGGTCGTCATAGCTCCCCACCTTTCCGTGAGCTAAACTGCGGTGAGCCCTGTGGTTGGGTAAGCTGCGGGTTGGCTCTCCGAACCCGAATGTGTGAGACATGGACCAGTCACCACTGAGTCTGACTGCGACGGGGAGGTGCCAGGTGCTTCTTTCCCCAGTGCCCAGTGCCCAGCGTCCACAAAGCTGACAAACCATGCAGCGGAAGTGGGAGGGCAGCAGCGTCACTCGCACTCTGGAACCACAAGAGCAACGGGCACCGAACTGGCTCTCCACCACAGGGCACCTACTCCGTCCACTTCACGGTACGTCGCATGCGTTTACTCCGACTCGGTCGTCTGCCCTCAAAACTTTTCCCACGACGCCAACGTCGCCCCTTGACGATTTCCTGATATCTCTTCCAGTGTATACGTCTAATTGCACTGCTCGACTGTTCCGATCAGTCAAGTTCACCCCTACTACGAGAGGCCCCACGAACGACCGACCGACCGACAACTTCCCTTCCGAATAGTACTTCCGTCTAGCATGCGTTAAACAGGCGGGTTGGGGGAAACCGCAGAAGAGCAATCGCCATGGACTACTCCGATTACTCGCCGCAGCGCATTCTGCACACAGGCTCGTTCACTGGATTCCATCGCCTGGGACAGCTCGGTAGCAACTATCTCTCTGCGACTGCAGAGATCAAGCAGCCGCTATGCGGTAACGAAGAGGGTTGGGGTCCGCTGAGCCCTATCCGATATGACTTTACGCCCTGCTTCATCGACGTCTGGATTGCCTCCGTGGCAGCATTTGGTCTCGTCTTTGGATCTCTGGCCATTGTATGGCTCATCCAGCGCAGGAAACCTTCCGATGCCCCTAAAGACTGGCATTTTTGGGTCAAGCAGGCAAGTGCTCTATCAAATGCTCTCTTATCTAAACCACAGCTAACCAGCCGCCCCTTTCAGACACTCCTCGGATTGATTATTGCCGACGTGACAGTACAACTCGCTTTGCAAATCGTCAGTTACCCCGATGTTTGGTTTGGCGACTTCCGATTTTGGACGACGGCTGCGACAATCCTATCTCTGGGCGTCATCTTTGCCATTCAATGGCTTGAGCATGCGCGCCTGCGTAACCCCAATGGCGTCGTCCTCTTCTACTGGCTCTTTCTCTTGATTGCATACTCAGTCAAGCTCCGATCCTTGATCTCTCAGCAGCTCTACGAGACTAGCCCGGCCTACTTCATCACTTACACCGTTGGCTTCGGCCTCTCTGTAGCCGAATTCCTGGTCGAGTGGTTATGGCCAAGGAAGGTCAGTGCATACGAGGCTCTGATCGATGAGGAGGAATGTCCCATTGAATATGCCACCGTATTCTCCCAGTTGACATTCTCCTGGATGACTCCTCTGATGCGCTACGGATACAAGCAATACTTGACTGAAGATGATCTTTGGGGGCTCGCTCAAAAAGACCAGACCAAGAACACTGGTGACGCTTTCAACAAAGCTTGGGAGTACGAACTCAAGCACCACAAGAACCCGTCTCTGTGGCTGGCCATGTTCCGTGCCTACGGTGGTCCATACGCCATAGCTGCGCTCTTCAAGGCTGTTAACGATGTCACACAGTATCTTCAGCCACAACTTCTGAAGTATCTTATTGCATTTATAGCTTCCTACGACACTGAGAATGATGAGAAGGAGCAGCCTCCGATCAAGGGTGCTTCCATCGCCTTGGCAATGTTTGCGTGCGCTGTTTTGCAAACCTCCATGATCGTGAGTTCCACATTGTAAAAGCTAGCAAGATGCAGCTCCACTAACACGCGCCAGCATCAATATTTCCAGCTAGCTTTCGTCACCGGTATGCGGATCAAGGGTGGTCTGGCATCGGCCATCTACAAGAAGTCCATGAGATTGTCCAATGAGGGACGCGCATCCAAGTCGACCGGCGATATCGTGAACTACATGGCCGTCGATGCCCAGCGTCTACAAGATCTGACCCAATTTGCTCAGCAGGTCTGGTCTGCTCCCTTCCAGATCATTATCTGCATGGTGTCATTGTACCAACTTGTTGGCTGGTCAATGCTTGCTGGTATCGGTGTCATGATTATCATGATGCCTGCGCATGGTTTCATTGCCAGAATCATGAGAAACTTGCAAAAGGAGCAAATGAAGAACAAGGACAAGAGAAGTCGTCTGATCAACGAGATCATTAACAACATGAAGAGCATCAAGCTTTACGCTTGGGGTGCTGCGTTCATGAACAAGCTGAACTTCGTTCGCAATGATCTCGAGCTCAAGAATCTTCGCAAGATTGGAGCAACCCAAGCTTTCGCCAACTTCACTTGGAGTACCGCTCCATTTTTTGTGTCTTGTTCCACCTTTGCCGTGTTTGTCATGACGCAGGATAAGCCGCTGACCACTGAAATTGTCTTCCCTGCGCTCGGTAAGTTATACGGTTGACCTACTCTTAAGTGCTAAGCGCTGACTCTTGTGGCTTAGCTCTGTTCAACCTGCTCACATTCCCCTTGGCGGTTCTGCCCATGGTCATTACCTCTATCGTGGAAGCTAGTGTTGCTGTCGGTCGTTTGACCTCATTCCTTACTGCTGAAGAGATCCAGCCTGATGCGATTACGATCAAGCCCGCGCCGGAAGAGATGGGAGAGGAGACAGTCATCGTCCGGAATGGAACCTTCTCCTGGAACCGTCATGAAGACAAGGAGGCACTCAAGGATATTGACTTCACCGCCTACAAGGGAGAACTCTCTTGCGTTGTCGGCAGAGTTGGCGCTGGCAAGTCGTCATTCTTGCAGAGCATCCTGGGCGATCTTTGGAAAATCAGAGGCCAAGTTGAAGTCCACGGAACCACGGCCTATGTCGCACAGGGAGCTTGGATTCTCAACGCGACTGTGAAGGAGAACATCATTTTTGGCTACAGATACGACCCGGATTTCTATGAAAAGACGATCAAGGCATGCGCTCTCGTTGACGACTTTGCCCAGCTTCCCGATGGCGACGAAACGGTTGTAGGTGAAAGAGGCATATCCCTGAGTGGTGGACAAAAGGCGCGTGTGGCCTTGGCTCGCGCCGTCTACGCCAGAGCGGACATCTACCTTCTAGATGATGTCCTGTCAGCCGTAGACTCCCATGTTGGAAGACATATCATCGAGAATGTCCTCGGTCCCAGAGGTCTTTTGAACACCAAGACCAGAATCCTCGCCACAAACGCCATTGCCGTGCTCGCGGAGGCCAGCTACATCACAATGATCAGGGATGGCGAGATTACCGAGCGCGGAACGTACAAGCAACTCGTGGCAATGAAGGGTATGGTTAACGATCTCATCAAGACTGCCGGTCAAGATTCAGGCCCTTCTTCTTCGGCCAACTCGAGCGGCTCCAGTAGCGAAACGTCCACCATTATCGAAGCCGAGGGCAGCAGCCAAGAAAAGGCCGAGCTGGAAGAGGCCCAGGAGCAGCTTCCTGAGATGGAACCTATCAAGACCGGCGTTTCAGTGAAGAACAAGAAGCGATCTTCGAGCATGGCAACGCTGCGCCGCGCTAGTACCGCCAGCTTCCGGGGACCTCGGGGCAAGCTCACTGATGAGGAAGTCGCTGGCAGCAAGTCGAAGCAGACCAAGGAGCATATTGAGCAAGGAAAGGTCAAATGGAACGTCTACATTGAATATGCCAAGAACAGCAACATTATTGCTGTCGCCATCTACATGGGTGCCCTGCTGGCTTCTCAAACAGCCAACATTGGTGGCTCCGTATGGCTCAAGACGTGGTCAGAGCAAAACGCAAAATCACACACCAACGACCACGTGGGCTACTACATCGGGATTTACTTCGCCTTCGGCATCGGCTCTTCCCTTTTGACTGTCATCCAGACTCTCATTCTGTGGATTTTCTGCTCGATTGAGGCGTCGAGGAAGCTGCATGAACGGATGGCCAACGCCATTTTCAGATCACCTATGTCCTTCTTCGACACTACTCCCACTGGTCGCATTCTCAACAGATTCTCCAGTGACATTTACAGAGTCGATGAGGTTCTCGCCAGGACCTTCAACATGCTCTTCGTCAATGCTGCTCGGTCAGGCTTCACTTTGGCTGTCATTTCCATCACGACTCCTCCGTTCGCCGCGCTCATCATCCCAATTACTCTGATCTACTACTGGATCCAGCGGTACTACTTGCGCACTTCTCGTGAACTCAAGAGACTTGACAGCGTTACCCGAAGTCCCGTATACGCCCACTTCCAGGAATCACTCGGAGGAATTTCGACGATCCGAGCGTACCGCCAGCAGCAGAGGTTTGAGCTGGAGAACGAGTGGCGTGTCGATGCCAACCTCAAAGCCTACTTTCCATCTATCAGCGCGAATCGTTGGCTTGCGGTCCGTCTCGAGTTCATTGGTGGTGTCGTTATTCTTGCGGCTGCCGGATTTGCCGTTGTCACAGTCGCGAACCACGTCCCATTGAGCCCTGGTCTTGTCGGTCTGGCCATGTCTTATGCTCTGCAGATCACAACTTCGCTCAACTGGATCGTGCGCCAGACCGTTGAGGTTGAGACGAACATTGTGTCAGTTGAGCGTGTTCTTGAATACGCGCGCCTGCCAAGCGAAGCCCCCGAAATCATCAAGAGCAATCGCCCACCCGTCGCCTGGCCGGCCAAGGGCTCTCTTGAGTTCAAGAACTACAGTACCCGGTACCGCGAGGGCCTGGACAACGTGCTGAAGAACATTAACTTGGACATCAAGACTCACGAAAAGATCGGTGTAGTTGGGCGGACCGGAGCTGGCAAGTCTTCGTTGACCCTTGCTCTTTTCCGCATCATCGAGCCGACTGCTGGCCACATCAGCATTGACCAGATCAACACATCTTCCATCGGATTGCTAGACCTGCGTAGAAGACTGGCCATTATTCCACAGGATGCGGCGCTGTTCGAGGGCACCATCCGGGATAACTTGGATCCCGCCAACGTGCATGATGACACTGAGCTATGGAGCGTACTGGGTAAGTAATACAAGTGGACGGGCACCCAACTCCCCTCTCACCGACCCTTTTGCCACCTATCCCCGGCCCACGCCTTCAGGAGAGGGTGCTCCTGACCCTCCACCTTCATAGAGTGAAGCTAATGCGCTGCGCTATCACAGAACACGCCCGACTCAAGGACCACGTAACGAGCATGGAAGGCGGCCTAGACGCAAAGGTCAACGAAGGAGGTAAGTCACAGCTTATAGTTCACTTTCGCTTTCTGTCGGCTCTAGTCTCGGGCCATCCAACATCAATTCTCGCGGCTTTTTGCACTTGTGTACAACGGGACTTTGGCGTATGTCGCGTTGCTACGTCGGACTCAAAGCATCCAGCAGCACCGTCATCTTTCACATGCATACATCGCTTTGTTAAGAGTCCCCTGCATGATCTCCCACGCATGCAGTCAAAGTCTCGTGCTGGCCCCTCTCACTCTGCCTACCATGTTTCTCGTTGCTTTGCCGACTTTGACTATTGATAAGCCGCATACTTGAATGGTGATGCTGACTCATTCGTGCTTAGGTTCCAACCTCTCACAGGGTCAGCGGCAGCTCGTGTCGCTCGCCCGCGCAATGCTGACGCCTTCCAACATCCTCGTGCTGGACGAGGCAACCGCGGCTGTCGACGTCGAGACAGACGCCATGCTGCAGACTACTCTGCGTTCGCCAATGTTTGCCAACCGTACCATCATCACCGTCGCTCACCGCATCAACACCATCCTCGACAGCGACCGCGTTGTCGTACTAGACAAGGGCGAGGTGGTGGAGTTTGACACACCGCAGGCACTCATCAAGAAGCAGGGCGTCTTTTACGGATTGGTGAAGCAGGCCGGTCTCGACACCTCGGAGTCTTCGTAGAAGAGAGAACGAAGACGGGGGACAGCAGCTTGTGTGACAATGTAAGAGAATTTCGGCGAATGGAAAAATGGTGACGGCGGCGGCGGCGGCGGCGGCGGCGGCGGAGGAGGAGGCAAGAGAAAAAGACCGTGTAGTCTATTGTGTAACTACACCGAGTTGTTTTCCCTCTTTGAACTAAAATGTATAGGGCAAAGCCCGGGGCGAGGAGTGAGAGCGGGCGGTAGCGTGGATTGGAATGCATTATCGGCATCTGTAGATTTACTCGAAAAGACCTTGCATCTACTTGAACTATACCGCGATAGTACAATGTGACACTTGCAGCGGTTGCATTGGACGAGGTCGCTATTGTCCGACACCGATAGTAGACCGTTGCGTGTCTTGTTCCCTTCCCGGTCGCGTTACCCTGCCTGCTGTCTCCCTCAATCAATCACTCACTCACTCACTCGGCAGACCGCCGCACCAAGGACATCTCTTTGCCTCACTTCTTCGTCGCAACCCGAGAGGCAGGTTGTCGGGTGTTGGAGTTGCCCACCCTCTTTTTCTCACCCCCCCTGGTCGCGCGCCTCCATCGACGAATTTCCTTGGCGGAGATAACAATTGGAGAGGGAGAGGGGAAGGCGGGATGTTTTTTGTCTCTTTCTTTTTGTGTAACGTGAGATGGGCAGACGCGGCAATTGATGGCTCAACGGTCTCAAGAAAGGGCTTGGGCGATGATTGGGTGAGCTGCCTGGTTGGTGGTGACGGCGGTCGGCGAAGGGAAGCCGAATGGATCTGGGGAAGGGGAGGGCGAGAGGCAACAGTGTTGTGGAACGATTGAGGATGGGTAGATGGATGGGTTGATGAGGGGTGTTAAGGTGGAGGTTGCGGAACGTAACGGCATTGGATGGGCTTGTCGCTCTTCGGTGAAGACATCTAGGTACTCGTAGGATGGATCGCGATGATCAGATGTGGCAAAACGCTGGTCAATGATTTTGAATTGATCTGTGTTTGGCCTGCTTTATTCTATCTCCTCTTGGTCTTGTGATGGCGTCGTGGGAGGTGGTTGCCGGATGAGACGAGCACCTTCTAGAAGAGAGTGCTAGCTGTCTTGACTTTTCGTCAATTCCCGTTTCTTCGAGCATGCTTTAGGTGCGAAAATATGCCAATCGCCATCCCGTATCATTGGCATCACTGGTATTGCGCCTGCGTCATCATGGGTGTCTTCGCTCCAGGCGACGTATGTGAGGATCAGGCAAGAAGAGCAGGCTACTCTACTTCTGCGCCGGCAAGCTAACCACCCCATGAGGCTCACGGAGTAATGAGTGAGGTATTCATCTGATCATAGGTATGCCTGCGTCTCTGGCTAGAAATTTAACGGTGAGCTGCTTTCATTAATGTGATGAGAGGCTGTGTTGAACGCTTCGGGCAAGATGGTTCTTCAAAAGCCTTTTTTGTCACGACGGAGCGACAAGCCGCATACAAGTAGGAGTGACCACGACTGTAGAACGATTAACACCTGTCGTCTGAGTTAAATCTCATAGAGGAGACACCGAATATCTAACCCAAAGTTGTACTGGCTGACCCAGATATGTTGGTTTGGCGATGTTGTAATTCATCTCTCGAGGGAACGAAAGCTGCGATTATCCTTGTCGATTCCCGCCAACACGGCCATTTCGATGATGAATGCCGTAACATAAGGGATTGTCTCATCGGCTCTATTCTTGAATAAGTGAGGTAAGTTTATTAGAATTAAGGCGTCAGCAATCCTAGCAAAGATAGTGATATATGAGCATCACAGAATCGGGTCTTTTTTGTTTAGATGTTTTACAAACCTCATCACATCCTCCCCGCCTCTTCCACCACCGTTGGGCTCTGATTTGTGCCTCTAATGACCTCAAATTTAGACAGCTTCATTTCATATACTGAGTAGACTGTCGCACACATCTTGACAGGACCGTGGATATTTGTGTTGTACTGGGATGATTCCTTCACCTCGTCTTGACCCAGTACTTCTCTCCTATGTCTAGGCTCTTCAGACAGCTTGTAAGGCTAATATGATGTTTCCTCACTCAAAAGTTTGCATATATTATTTATTTTTGAAGATCTGTCCCTGAGTAGTTCGTCTAGCCACCATACAGGCCTCTTGGTAAAGGTTGACGGCAAATTGGGGCATGTCCGAAAGTACAACTTCGTATACAAGGCAATAGGACAAAAGGAATGGAGCCTTCATGACCTCGTTCGTTTCCCCCTTTCTTTGAATCGACGGTCTCATGAATTCAATTCTTTAGAAGAAGAGAAGTACTGCTGAGCTCAGTCGATATCTCCAGAGTCCATCATCAACACTCTAGAAACCCGACCCAAAGAAACCCCTTTCCCTGTCATCTTCTCGACGAGAAAGAACCCCGAGTCCGAATCGTAAACAGGCCATACCCGCTCCTCCTACCTCTATACACCGCCGGGGTATTTACCCGTCATCGACGGGACACACGCGTCGTGACTCGGAACACAAACGACATGCCATCATCTGCCGGCGCCCGAAAAAATTGCTGTCCCTCTCCTCTTCTCTTCTAATAGATTGCGGCCGAGCGGCTCGCTGCGTTGCATGTTCAGATCCCGATGCAGTCCCATACCCCGACGATAGAGCCACCTGAGTCCAGCACGAAGGGTATTTGAGAGCAGAGCATCGGTGGGTATTGACATGCCGAAGAATGGGACGAGTACTATCGACGGAATGAAGTCGGTGGAGGAAAGGGACCCTGTATGAGAGGAGCCTCGTCGAATTATTGATAACCAGACAATCCTTGGTCATTGTCTTACTTCAAGATACCGGACCCATCGAACGTGGTGATACGATGGATTCAAGGCGGGTATTCTGTTAGTTTCCTGCTCTCCTGGAGTGAGAGGACCGCATACAGGAGAATCGGAAAGAGGATGTGACCTGTAAACAGCCTCGGACAATCTGCTTGCTTCAGACCTACGTTGGAAAGTTAGCTTAGTAGAAAGGAGAGCCTCTGGAATGAACTGTACTGCCCAATACCAAGGGTTGGTTCACAGCCGTAGCTGCCCCGGGTCGTCGTGTGGAAGAGACCTGTCTACGGGATTTTTAGAGGGAGATGGTGTTTCGACGATAGCCGTGAGAATAAACAAGATGGAGAGTCGAGCCGAGGAACGAGAGGACTTGACCAGGGCATATAATCGGGATAGAAGCAGAGCGAGTATTTTGTCTGATGATTATGGCATCAGAGTACAATCCTTCTTCCAATAAAGAGTGAATATCCTTCGAGCACAAGAGAATAAATAAGCTGCTACGGCAAAACATCGCCAGCTGGTGGCATTTGTTTCTCTCCTCACAATTGAAGAATAGTACTGCAATCTATCTTTTGGAGAGCCCCTCCTCGAACAACACAGGTCCTTAGAATTGGCGCACCGGAGTCCGGCCCGGTGAAGTGGCACATGGAATCGAACTTCTCTACTACTACTTAACATACAAAACAGGCGAATTCCGTGGCCTCGTATGATAAACATGTAGCCATTGCGACATAGATACGCATGGATTGAAAGGGATTTTCTTCATACTCTTCAGTGGGTTGGCAAGAGAAACGCATGCGATGATCTCACGCGCGGCTAGGAGTCGAGGAGGAGTATCAGGGTATCAAGTGTCTGCACTTTCACGAGAGCAGGCACCGTCAATGTACACACCCTCTCAACTCCATATGTCTTAGACTGGATCAACTTCTCAATGTACCCGTCATGACTTGATTCTCGGGTGGCCGCCGCGATTCGTGTTTCCATTTCTCGCCCCTAGACCTGGGGCTTCATCTCAGATACCCACGCGCGCGCGCGTGCGCCCTCCTCTCAGCGACCAGCAGCAGTAGGCTGACCCGGATCACTAACAGAGAACCAGCAAACAATCATCAATCTGCAGAAGACAAGTTCTGGCGTTCATGTGAATTGATTGCATCGGGAAGAGACATTCTTCACCGAAAGCGAGCGCAAAGGAAAAGAATACAATGCCAAGCGGGCCTCATAGAGGACTGGTGTGTTTATGCACAGCATTTCCGTCCATATTAGGTCAAAATGTCAGCCACATCCCATCCATCCCCCGTTCCCGCTATTTCGCCATAGATGCTTGATTATTACAGCCTGACCCAATATAGATTACGCACTCTGCTTGATTAGGCTGTGTCCAAGGAGATCAGCAAACCTGCCCACCCCATTTTTGGTTATCATCCATCAGCTTGGCTTGCATCTTCCACGGAAATGGTGTCTGTTCCCTTATTGGAAAAATACTCTGCCTATTTGTTGCATTCTCACCACCGCACATGGATGGAATAAGTCACAGCAAGAGCGCAGCAAAAGGGCTCGTGGGTGACATACTCAGATCGCTGCATACACATTCTCGACACCTCGAAACATAGCAAAAAGTCGCAAAGCACGGGAGAGAAGAGACCCGTGCCATGATACGACTAAACACAAAGATACGTTTCATGATTCAAAGCAGCGATCCAATGGAAAACAAACCTGAACGCCAGCGCTCAGGCAACACTTCTCTTCCCTCGAGCGCCGGATCTTAATACGCCGTTTAAGAGCTGGGGTGGGTAAACGGTGTGGGAGGTAGGAGGTCAAGCCAGGTGGAAAAACGACGAATCACCGACCTCTTTCGCAGGAGAGCCTAAACGTAGGGGCCTGGTTCGGTGGTGAGCCTCTTCTTCACCTCCCAATACCACCTAGGCGTAGTGGTGTGGGTGTGTACTTCCGTAATCGAGCACCCAACGGCCGGAACTGTGCTACTGTTGCGTTTTTTGCCTTCCTACAATCGAGTGAAGGGGCAAGGGGTGAGCACCTACCTACGAAGAGGAAAGTATGGTAGCTGCTTAAGCTGTTGTGTCACCGCCGGTGCTGTGTAACGCCAGACGAGTATGCGGGTTGGATTCGACCGCTGTTTACAAGTCGCTGGGGTGATAGAGAGAGGGAGAGAGAGAGAGGAGGAGTAGGAGGACAATAGGCCAAGCTTCCTTGTAAGTAAATTAGTCTCAGCCATGGTTTCTTGAGTGACTGGTTAATGGAATATCTTAATGTTGCAACGGCTGCACCATATCGACCTTGACGACGTAGTAGT